ATCGCCAGTATGTTGTTGCAGGTTCGAAGACCAGTTGTAGCATTCTGCTTCTGCTTTTTCTGCAAGTAGAGGAAAAAGAAAAATCAATGCAAAGTAAATGGACCAATCAGCGTTCATTCTGCCTAATACAACACAGGAAAGTGGTTATGAGATGACAAAACTAGCTACTAGAAAACCCACAATGACATCCTTTTCTTCTTCCGTTTTTGCAGCTGCCATAGCTTTATTGTGCTACACCATCCCTTGGGTCAATTTCTTATTCATAGCCTTTGCTAAATCCTCAATAGTGCTCAATCTGTTTCATTATAGATCCAAGTCAAGTTCAAAGTTTAAGTTCTTTTAAAGATAACAGTAGAGAACTTAAATGGAAAAGGGGAAGAAAGTAAAAGAAACTTGTCGTTTTTGTTATTTTTGCTATGCTCACAACTATTGACTCCTGATTATATAAAATGCATGATTTGGTAACTAAGAAACAAGCAAATAAATCAGGGCGCATAAAAAAACTCAGTTATTGCATGAAAATAAGCAAATTATTCTTAATCTACCACTCAAGAACATCAAACTCATTCACCCAAAGAGCTATTNGTTCTACACCATCCCTTGGGTCAATTTCTTATTCATAGCCTTTGCTAAAACCTCAATAGTGCTCAATCTGTTTCATTATAGATCCAAGTCAAGTTCAAAGTTTAAGTTCTTTTAAAGATAACAGTAGAGAACTTAAATGGAAAAGGGGAAGAAAGTAAAAGAAACTTGTCGTTTTTGTTATTTTTGCTATGCTCACAACTATTGACTCCTGATTATATAAAATGCATGATTTGGTAACTAAGAAACAAGCAAATAAATCAGGGCGCATAAAAAAACTCAGTTATTGCATGAAAATAAGCAAATTATTCTTAATCTACCACTCAAGAACATCAAACTCATTCACCCAAAGAGCTATTGCTACTGGTAGAGTTCATTGGTGGCTGAGAACATTTATGTTCTTCTCGTTTTCAACTTTTCTGTGATCTAACAACAACCCCCCCCCCCCCCCCCCCCCCCCCCCCCCCCCCCCCCCCCCCAAAAAAAANCTGTAACTTACATAAGGTTTTAAGCCTCAGCATTAGTTTTATATCAAAGGTTTATGTTAAATTCAGAAAATATCATTCATGGAATTGGTGTATAAAGTACCTCTCTGTAAAGGCCTTGTTTAGATCTGAAAAGTCTTCTCCAAGTCTGTCTGAAGGCTGACCAGTAACTATCTTGTAGCCGCACAGGCTGTTTGTGGCATTTGCGGTCTAAATAAATCACACACAGAAATCTCAAGTCAGCTTTGAAGAACATCATAGATATATTGATGGGTAAAATATATCACTTTTACCTTGTGGGCTAAATGGTGAAATGAATACAACAGACACTCGACAGACGTGAAGTTTATCTCTTCAATCTTCCTTCGAACCATATATTTCTGATAGACAAAATGGCAAAAAGGATTCTTGAGAAAGAATTACCTAAACCAATCTAAAAATCATAAAACATGGCTCATCAAGTGTCCTATTGGAGATTTAAGTAATTTGTAGCCACCATGTTGCTGTGCAAATCGTCGCCTTGTGACATGCAGGTATATAGCACTAAATAAGTTTTGACAGCATCACATATCTGACAAAGAATACTGTAAGCCCCTGTTTGACTTTCTTTATTTCAAAACTCTTTATTTCTCATTCTCATTTTCAACCACACATTCACACAATAAAATATTTTGCAAGTAAACCCAGAATTTTTCCACTTTTTAACCACACATTCTCCAAAAAATCACTATTCAAAACATTTTCCCCCAATTTCTCTTTATAATAGCCATCAAACAGGGGCTAAATTTTGAACGAATTTTTCACTCATCAACAAAACTTGTATCAAAACATTAATGTCCAACTGAAGAATGAAAGAAAATAAAGCATGAGCGTATTCTGTAAATAGAAATATCTGCGTGGCAATATTTGTATTAGCCAAAAGGTTCTCTAATACGTGTTTGTGCGCACATATATATTTAGAGAGAGAGATAAATGCAATCAAGGAAAGCTAATAGATCATATGTTTGAAGAAACAAAATGATTCACAGATACAAATTAACAAGAGGAAAGGCAATCCAGAGGGGAAAAAAAACAAAACCAATAAAATCAAGCAGAATCATGCTGTGAAGAGAGATTTATCTATTTAATTTATCCCAATAATAGAATGTTTGAATAATTATACAATAACGGAAGAAAGGGCCTCAGCAGAGGAGGGATTACAATAGATAATATGCAGGCAACTTGAAAATCGGCACAGTTTACATCTCCTTCAAAATAAATACCTTTAACAGTTGAACAATTGATGGAAGAATCTGTCTTGCATCCTGTAGTCTTGCATAAACATTCCTCTTCAGCAAGCTGAAGGAGAAAGAGATTTAACATTCATTAGAGAACCACAATATGAAGCAGCAAAAGTCAAAAAGTAGAAGCAAAATAACGAGATGCTTCGTCGACAAATTGCTAGCTCAAAAACTTAATATGTAAACTCAATAATACAAAAAATTGGTGGTAATTCAGTTCAGATAGCAAGTACTACCTTGTCAAAGACTGGTATAATTTGCTTGTTCAGATAGTTGAGAAACTTAATGCTTGATGCACCCCTCTGGAACCACATACAATGAGGTTTAATAGATAAAAACTACAATTATTAAATGTTCAAATTAGTGTTGGAATATACCATGAAAAACGGTAGGGCTATGCACAGGCAGGATATAAATCGGTCAATGTGATCACCATCTGAAACCTGATAGAGTTGAGAGGAGAAAGCTTGTTAGATGGAAGTACTATAAAATAAGATTACAAAATAATTAGCATATACATAATAGAAACCAATATTGACGTCATAAGTGATAAAGTTCTGCATTAGTTGTCAACCTAGAGCAACCCTCCTCCATCCACATTCCAAGTACACTACCTACTGTGAAGAAACATAGGAAGAGTTTTAAGAGGTACAATTCAAGGATTTGCCAAAGGGTCACCCGTCTTATAACTTATCGTTGCAGCAATTTGTTCGGCCAAAATTGAATTGACCTTTGAATGGCCTATAGAATTACATCAAAGTGTACCACACCAGGAAAAAACAACATAAGATATTTTCTCGAAACAAATACATTTCACCAAATTTTAAATTGGAAAAATGGTTAAAATATTCATTCAACAAAATAAAATTGGGAAAATAAGCTTGACAGGGCCATCAATGAGTACTGAAGCAAGAATTCTTGAACTTGATAACTAGCACTATCTTTGAGAAAATGAGTGATAAAAATGAAGTTGGATCTAAACAGAAGTCTGTAAGAGCAGCAATAACTAAACAGATAGCGAGAGGCAAAAAAATGCCCACCACTAGTCATATACTGGAAAAGGAACATACATCAAGATCAGCCTGGCCTTCAATGATCTCAACAAGTTCCTCAACACGCTCCACAAGAGCCTTCTGTCCAAATAAGCTCAAGCTCTTCAAAACGTCGATGAACATTTTAAATTCAACGGCTGTCACATCTTGCAAATTCTGCAACAGGAAATGTGGGGAGTCAACAAGAGTTGAGCTTCTAGATCAGAACTGTAGAACTAAAGAAAAGTAATGGTCAATTAAGCAAAATATATGAGCCATTAAAGAGAAAGAACACTAAGATTACAATGCTCCATATTAAACAAGAATATACCAGCTTTATCAAATTAGTTAAATGCCTCTCCATTTTGTCCAGTGGCTTTAGTATCTCTCCCTTAAGAGGAAACACCTGCAATATGCCCTCATTCACAATTCAAACATTTCCAGAAGACCTCTTTGAAATGAAAAAAAAATTCATAAAGATTAAGCATCCCTTTACCTTATCTTTAATAAAGCAGAGAACCTTTTCACGTATGGTCTCCCAAGTGCTAATATCATCAGCACTTCGATCTTCGGTGCTTCCAATGTGCCTAAATAAAGATGTTAAGGAAGCTGCAGCAGACATACTGAACAGATTCAGAATACAAACATATACACAAACCCGATGTGTAAATGCAGTAATAAAGTCTAGATAATAGATAAGCACAGTCTGTTGTAGTTCAATGAAAATGAAGTGATAGCAGGTTTTTAGAATATAAATCCCATAGAAGTGGATTATAGGCATTATAAAAATCCAAATGATGGACTATGATGGTAGATGCATTTTTTAAGATGCCAAATAGGCTTTCACAAATAACATTTAGACCTAGGATACTGACTCATGTAATGTGCCCACGAATTGCCCAAGTGGCATTTGACATAAAAAAATGGTAGATTAGAACACATTGAAATGCTGTAGAGGCAGTTAGGTTAAATATTGGATGGAAGACTAACTAGGAGATATGACTGAAACAATTTAAATATTAAAGTGACTACTTAGGAACAAAATAAAGTTTGTGAAGAACATAAAATTTAGTCGCAAATTCAATAAAATTTGGAGTTTTTTACACTTTGGAATTAATACACTTCGGATCTGCACAAGTGACCAATAGGTATTTGATGCAGAATCAAAGGGAGAAAAGCAATAAGAAGAAGGGGAAGGGAAGAAGCCGTGAAGAAAGAGAGGAAGAGAAAACGTGGCTACGGCCAATCTCAATTTTAATTAATCATCAACTGTCTAAACTGTAATGTAAAACTGTTTAAATAGCGAAAATCTATGNAAAACTGTTTAAATAGCGAAAACCTATGTAATTGACGGGTTTGGGCTAACCCACTAATACAAACCCAATAACAATAAAATTAGAAGACATAAATAAATAAGGGCCAATAACAATAAAAGTAACTCCTGATGACAATGTAATAAATCCCGATGATCCAATGATGTCCGCATCAGTATTACTTCATTGTTCTTGATTTAGATCATGCAACTAGCTGGATTTATACGTGTCTTATGTTTAAAGTTGTTGTTTCAATATAGAAGTCATCCAACCTTTTCTACTGTGTTTCAAAAAAGAGTTATTTTCTCTTAAAATGATACAAGGAATATTTGTTGTTTAACGGCGTAGTCAAGCAGAATCCTTCACTGATGCTCCCTTCTCAAAAAGGAAAAAGAAAAGATTGGTGGTATGAGGAAAAAAAAAAAAGTATAATACAGCCATTGGAACCTACTTTTAACATCCTGCCGCAATAAAGATATGAGGGCTTTATGCACTGCGTCATGCTCCACGTTATCTCCTAAAAACACCAAGGATGATATCGTTATCTAATCAAGTGACTGAAATCATTAAGAATCAAAAAATAGATACCAAAAGCTAATCACCTGCTACAAGGAGCTGACCAATGATGTCAACAATTTTAGCCAGATGTTCCGGATTATCCTTGCAAAAAAGAGGAAGCCCACATATAGCTTGTACTCGCACCTTTAACAATAAATAGTTAGTGGACTTCCCAAAAGATATTTAAGTTACCATACATGAACATGCATCAACCCACTTTTCGTGTACCTCGCCCAAAATTATATTGATTAATAAATTTCTTTCATATACAAAGATAATAGTGAATACCGATACATTCTGGGAAATATCTAGTAGACGGCAATACCGCTTTTACGATGCTAGTTTAATTTACGGCCACAAAATGCTTGCTTAAGGCTGCAAAGAGAGACCATATTATTTACTTTTTTGGTCCATTAAATCAGATAAAGCACACTTAACAATGGATGTCTGGACCAACTTGCGCGCACCTCGACTAATCCCACGGGACCCTGAAGTTTACGGCTGAGTACTCACTTCAATGGCCCTGAGAGGACTCAAATTGACGATTTTTGGGGAGCAAACCCAATGCCTGACCAATTGAGCAACCCCTCAAGGTTCTCTCTCTCTATCTATCTATCTAGCTGAAGCAAAACAAAATAAGGCAAAAAATAATGAAAATTCACATTCATAGCATGTTTGGTAGCACAAAATTAGGATACAAAATTGAACCTGCAATAAAAATTCGATTTAAAATTGAATGAAATGTTTTTTGTAGTGTCAATTACTAGTCCCCATTTCCTTTCCAGCAAGCTAGCATCAGTTTTTTATTTTTTTTATGTAAGACAAAAGCCATTTCTTTCACTGCCTTCTCCTTTCATTTTCCACTCACATAGCAGTATTCTTTCGCATAATTGCTAAAGCATTTAGTCTTGTTTTGGCTAGCTTGTTTCGGGGCGCACTGGCATATAGCACCTATATGGAAGGAAACTATTGAAGCTTCAAGCTTTTCACCTATATGGAACTAAATCGAAAATTAAAAACAAAGCATTCAGGAAAGATAACATAATGAATACATTTCTGCTCACTTGTTATCAAATAATAGCTTCTATCAATTCTACTTATAAATTACTCTCAGCAACCTAAACTAAACCAGTAATATGTCGAACATAATTCAAATCCTCGAAAGTCCGAATAGTAAATAACTGTTCAATTTAGTAAAAGAATTCTGCTCATGTAAACTCATATTGAAGTATCAACAAAATACACAAACAAAAAGCATTATACGAAGAATAGATTCCAAACCCCAAGTTCCTAGTCCTCGCAAAGATACAAATGCTGGTCAAGAGCTTGCTCCGAGAGCTCAAGAAAGTACTTGAAAAACCTTGGTATCAACTGCGAGGCCAATTGCTTTGCCTTCACTCCACCATTCGCAGCCGCAATTATTCCTTCATATTCTCCCTTACTCTACTCCCAAAATCGAATACAATCATAAAAAACAACAGAGTAAATTTAATGAATCCTCATTGAACTTTAAACTTGTTACTACTTACTCACTTATCTTGTTACCCAATACTCACTCATCTTTCCATATAATTACTCATCCACCACTCACTTAACTTCCATCCCTCCAAATGGATGGAAAAATATACGTGGAAAACAGAAATCCTACGTGGCGTGTTGACGGTGTTAACCACGTCCAAATCACCAAAAATGCACCAAACAAACACGCTTTTCTCTTCCTCAATTGCAACACGCTTTGTATTAAACCCAAAACAAAATCTCCAAATCAACCTCCTAAACCAAAACCCTGAAACCTCCAAACCAAAAATTCCAATTATCTCTACTGGGATTTCACCACTGAGTTTGAGATTGTGTGAATTTAGATCTTCAAGCCATTCAAGACTCCCAAACTCCGAAGCAATTCCAACTGGTATACTTACATAAGGCTTGTTAAACCCCAAAACTAAATACTTCAGGCAATTGCATTCTGTTATGCTAGACGGAAATTTTCCATAGAAATCATTCCCAGAAGAATCAAAAACATCCGGTTGAAGAGAAATGTCATGAAAATGGGTTGAAAAGTTGTTGAAATAATCACGTTCACAAACTTCACCAGCTTACCAGCACGTACAACAGCTCTCACTAGATCACACGTCCAGCTCCTACCAACAACTCACATTCTACATGCTTATCTCCAGCTCATTAGTAGATTCGGTTCAGCAGCTCATTCCAACATATTCTAGATCCTTCTTCTTGTAGTTAGTTTGTTAGATTTTAGTCTATAAATAGGGCAATTTATTCACATTTTTACTCGAGCATTTGATGAATAATAAATATCCTCCATAGTTGCTTCATCCTGTTCCTTCAATGTGTTCATCATATTGAATTTATCTTTTCATTTTTCTGTTCTTGCTTTACAGTAGCTTCTATTTCATTTTCGTTCCTTGTTATTTAAGATGGTATCAGAGCATATCTTCCATTGCAGCTCTCTGTTTTTCGGTCGTCTTCAAGGTGTTCGACAAAATTTCCCACTGGCGAGAGGCTTGGCGATTGCACCGTTTTATAGCATTTCTAGTTCTTATTTCACTCATCAATGTTGATGAAGTTTCTTCAGCAAATCCCCGGCAAAGCAATGGATGCTCGTTCGTTCCGGTTGAAGTATGTTGCTGATTTTCTTTTTTTTTTCTCTCTTTGGAATGCTTCTCTATTGCTCGACCCGGGCTTCTCTTCCATTGCATCTGCTGCATCTCTGTCTTCTTCTACAAATCAAGATGTGCCATCTTGAGAGGAGAGTGTTGAAATATTCACGTTCACAAACTTCACCAGCTTACCAACACATGCAACAGCTCTCACCAGATCACACGTCCAGCTCCTACCAGCAAACCAGCAGCTCACATTCCACATGCTTATCTCCAGCTCATTCAATGTGTTCATCATATTGAATTTATCTTTTCATTTTTCTGTTCTTGCTTTACAGTAGCTTCTATTTCATTTTCGTTCCTTGTTATTTAAGAAGACTAGAAAAGTGAATTTGGATTTGAAAGTTGTGGGTTCCATTCCAGGTTGTCAAGATTTAACAGAATATATTTTCCATGTATGATTTCTATTTTCCACTTCTATTTTCCGTCCATGTAGAGAGATGGGTGTTAAATCAGTGGTGGATGAGTAATTATACATAAAGATGAGTGAGTATTGAGTAACCAGATGAGTGAGTAAGTAGTAATAATATTAGACTTCAATGAGTGCTGATTAAATTTACTCAAAAACAACAAAAGTAACTTCAAAAAAAACGCCAAAAAGAGTAATTCGTCAGACAAAAAGCATTTACTGACTTGGGACTTGTCTTTGGCCTCGTTGAGTTTTTCCCCATACTCGTAGAGCTTCTCGATGTCTATACAATCATCCGCCATCGCTGCCACAATTCAAATAATGTAAACGATCGCGATAGGGTAGTGGGGGTTACGGTTTTGTAGAAACAAAAAAATTAGGCCCTGTTCTCTTTGCCGTTTTCAACCCTTTTTCTGTTTTCAATTTTTCAAAACGACGAAAACGCGTTCTCATTTTCATTTCTGAAAACAAGTTTTCGAAAACGGCTAAATTTTTTTCACAGAAAATGGAAAACGTGGTTTTCCACGTTTTGAGAATTTCCAACCAAATCACGGCCAGAAACCCAAAAACGCNAACACAGTGATTTTTAGAAAACACGGGAAATGACTTCGCCTTATCCTCTCCCTGCTATTCCATTTCCATTTCCCATCTCACAAACCCACAATCCAGAGCTTCCACTGCCATTTTTGGAAGCGTGGAGGAAGAAGAGGAGGCTGTCGTACCAGCTCAATACATACGTGCGGTATATACATATATGCGTTTATATGTTATGTGTTAATTTGATGAGGAAATTATCAGCTACTATTCGATGCAAAATCATGAAATTCCTTGAATTTTATTAACCCTGGTTGGATCAATCACTCAATCTCCACCTTTAGGTACCTAAAATTTGAATGGCACCTCTGTTTTTATATTCGAGTCAATACATTAATCTGGGAAAAGTTTGACAGTTTGTTTTGATTGTAAGTCGATTTAGTTTCTGTTTTAGGTTTGAATAATTGTGTTTTTGTTTCAATATTATTATTATTATTTCTTTGGATTATTATTTCTTCTTAATTTTGGTTGATTTTTCCGTGTTATTGCAAAATAAAGTTTCATTTTTAATTGAGTTATTCACGTATTCAGTTAGGTTTCTGAACTGCGATTTTGTTTTTTTCTATTCTTGTTTATGTTGAAACGATAGGGTTTCTTTCTTGTTCTTTAATTATAATTGACAAATTCTGGTAATATGTTTGTTTAACTATTGTATGATCAGTTAGTTCTTTTATTCATGATTTTTTGTCGTGAAAATGGATATCTATAAATGAAAGGTGTTTTTACTCTATACAGGAGTGTATAAGAATGGAAAATCAAGGTCAAAAAAGAACTGAAGCAGTAGATGAATGGCCGGCTGATAAGCAAGCTTGCAATTCATCTAAATTTAGGCCTAGTACCTCAAACTCCTCAGCCCAAACTCCATGTTTGGTTCTTGTGATTCCGATAGCAGCATCCGCGACTACTATAGAAGGCAATCATGGGGTGATCAAAGCAAATTTAAGAATGTGTTGTCAAGATTGAGTGAGGAGGTGGAGGAATCTGGGCAACTGGCTACCCTCACTGAGCTTTGTGAATTGTTGTCCTTTGCTACTGATAGTTCATTATCTAGCTTAATGACGGACTCATTTTCTCCTATACTTGTGAAGTTGGCTAGGCAAGACAGCAATCCTGATATAATGCTCTTGACAACAAGGGCAATGACTTATTTGTGTGATGTTAATCCTCGTTCCTTAGGTTTTCTCGTTAGACATGATGCAGTTCCTGTCCTTTGTCAAAAACTAATGGTGATTGAATACTTGGACGTGGTCGAGCAAGTATGTTGTTGATACTTTGTCCACGTGTCTATGTTATTGTACATCGTATGGGATTGAATTCTGGTTAACAAATTTAACTTTTGATTGTTGTTTTTTTTTACCTAATCTAGTGTTTGCAAGCATTAGAGAAAATTTCTCGTGAAGAACCCCTTGCTTGCTTGCAATCTGGTGCAGTCATGGCTGTTCTAAATTATATCGATTTCTTTTCCACAAGTATGCAGGTATTTTCATATATCAAATCTGTTTACTACAATAGATATGTCGTGCATTTATATGGTATTTTCTTAGGTATAGCAGGACATAATATCTTCTTTTTTTGGGTCTTTAGATAAAAATGCCAGTAAAATTTTGTGTTGCACTCTAGTAGTTTTCAATTTGTGGTTGCACATGTTATGTCCTTGGCGAGGATATAAATATTTTTGGACAAGGATATATGAGCACTTCAGTTGGAAGTGCTTTTTAACTTTGTGTTACGTGTCTAAATTTGTGGATTAGTAACGGAGCCTGTTAGATAAAATGCTACTTAAATGAATGATAGAATGTTGCTTTAAGAGAAGTCCATGGTTTCACCCAATGTTGGCTTTCACCTGAAAACATGACTAAACTTCTGGTTTTCTCATTTTCACGAGTATATGAAGGCTAGTATATGGGTAATTACTGATTTGTCCGAGGAAAACCAAACATGTATCAGAGCATGTGTTATTGCTTTATACCACTTGTGTCTTTGCTTTGAACTAAGTGTTGCATTGTTTGAAGGAAGCTGCTTGAACTCTTTAAATTAATGTTGACCATTTCATCTTTTGATTCCTTTTGTTAGATAGTTTTATAAGTTCAGACATTGCTTGGAAAATTGCTGCAAGGAGTGACCATTGCTCATGGTGGAGTGCTTCTAAGCAATTTGGTTTTGAAGAAACGCTTATTGTGATGTGCAGTATGTTCAATCTCAGGATGAAGAAGTGGAGAATTTTGAGAGATGTAACAAGACAATAGAGAAGGAGAGTTCTCATTCGGGGGAAAGTGATGAAGAATCTGTAGATGCACTTGATACATTCTCGAGCAGAGAATCAGTTTTTTTATTTTTTAGCGCGAGTGGCTTAAGTTTATTTTCCTCGATCTCATTTTTGAGTGATGTAACAAGACTATAGAGAAGGAGAGTTCTCATTTGTTTATTCATGTAAAAATGTTTTATAAATTTTGTCACTTCGTTGAATTAATTGTAATGATCATTACTTATTTGTAAAATACTCTGTTTTGCTTGTTATGTTACAATTTTTTTAGTTTAAGTTGCACATAAGAGGAAAAAATGGTTTCCTTGTCTGAAATCAAATAGTTCAAAAAATTTGTTATCTTTGTATGAAAAATGTGATGAAGATAACATATGTTTTTTTTTTTTTTTTTGTTCTGGACACGGAAATAAAGCATTTGAATTAGACGAGAGAATTGTAGCAAGGTTACCTCATTAATTTTTTTCTTCAATAGATTAATAATAAACTATTAAAATTTATTGAATAATCAGATTTATGGAATGAAATATTATAAAAAAAAAAAATTCAAAATTTCAAAGTAAATGCGTTTTCAAGTTTTCTATTTTGAGAAACAGTTTTTCAGAATGACAAAGAGAACGAATTTTTAGCAATTCCAAAATAGACACTCAAAACAAAAAACACAAAATGAATTCAAAACACAAAACACAAAACTGAAACACGAAGAGAACGGCCCCTTAATTTTTGAGAGAGGGAGACAGTATTTGAAGGAGTGTGTGACCAATGTTGAATTTGGAGGGGTTTTAGTTTTTAAAAAATTCAATGGCGGTGTTGTGACTTGTGAGGCTACCTGCGACTTTACCGGCTACCTCTTTGCAATGTGAAGTGGGCATTAAGCCTTGTTTGGAAGTGACTTTATTTCTCTCTCTCATTTTTAATTAATTTTACTTTTACTTAAAATTTTTTCCTATTTTTTAATTATACATTTTTCAAAAATCACTTTATACGAAATCACTTTTCAAAAAATTAACATAATATAATAATTAAAACTCAATCTATAGGATCTACCGTCACCCTTTTTTTTTTTTTTAGTAGAAAAAAAAACCCAGCCCATTTTTTTTTTAGTAGAAAAAAAAATTTCTTGGGTAATTTTTTTTTTTTTTCCTTATTAGTCCGACCCGTAATTTGGTCTTGAATCCGTCCATGTGCATGTCACGCTTATAAAATGTGTAAGACCAATAAAAGAATTTTCGCAATTTTAGAAAACAACGCTATGTTCAATCTGGGAATAATCTTATAATCCTCATGGTACAACAAAGTTCTGTAAAATTTTAGAATGACCTTATCACTTTAGACCAATTTTAACCCATACATTTAATTGACTTAATCATATCACTCTACATCACGTGAAATGACACTTGGTTTTTACGTATAAAAATATTCAATTTTAGGACTAAAGAGAATATGTATGTATCCAGTATGTAGGGTACTTGTGTTTCGCACAGTCTGAGACAAACTTCAGAATTTGAATTTTTAAATCATAGCAAGCAATCAATTTACTTTTTTTATTTATGAGAGTTTTATGAAACTAAATTTGTTAATTTAAAATCAACAATAACGCAACAAATAAAATGAAATAGTCAAAATATTTATATTTCAATTAAATAACATTTCAAAAATGTTTTAAACGATCGTTTAAATACAATTCGTTTTGCGGTTTTAAAGGCAAAAATATCAATCAATTTTGGATAGTCGAATTGTTCAACCATTTCCTTTTTAATGAATAACATGAACAATCCATTCAATTTTTGTTGTAACATTGTTGATCGGAAATAAGTCTCAATGAATTTCAAGTCGAAGAAACTTCTTTATGGTGATGCAACTATAACCTGCATGGTTAGTGAAAAGGGCTCAAATTTGAGTGTAAAATGGGAGTCGAATTAGTTTAAGAAAGAAAGAAAAGATATGATTTTTTTGTTAAAACATTGTATCAACACATAGTATAGTTATATATAATAGGAGGGTTATGCTACATGTACCGAATTTTTAGACCTAATCTTTTACACCACACTCACATTATGAGGTGGGGACCACAAGTCGGAATTTTTAAATACACATGGGGCCGACGCACATTGTGAGAGGGGAGACACCATTTGGTACCCCCCCTTTTGGTACATTTAGACTAATTCATAAGGATAATGCTATTTGTACCTTAGCCATTACCCACTTGGTTACACTGTGACGTGGGAAGTCTAGTTGGGAAAAAAAAAAACAAAAAAAAAAGTCAAAAAGGGGAGACCAATTTGACGAAGGAAAAAGGCGGGCAAAGAGAAGAGATGAAAGCCTGCATACGAGCTCGCGAAATCACACAAATGGCCACCAAAAATTGAACATATCACCTAGAAGCAGTGTAATCCAATGTCGGGCTCGTCGCTTTCAGTTTTCCCTAAAAGTGCACAGGTGATGAACGAGACGGAAGCCTCGCGAAGTTACAGAAATCGGCACCATTTGTTGAACAAACCGCCGAGAAATTACATTCAATCCAACATCAGGCTCGTTACTTTGAGTTTCTCTTAAATTAAGTCGCTGTCATCATACATTCAGCTGTGTTCGAAATAGTTTTTCCTGCTTGAAGCTATCACCGACTTCGTTTAGGCGACCGAATGACGGAAAAAGGTATATCCTTCCATGGATTTCTTGTCAGCTCATTTTTTACCTAGTTGTTGTGTGAAAATGTTGAAGTCATTTTTCAAGGTTACTGAACTGTGAGGAATGTTACTGAAAATGTTGAAGTCATTTTTCAAGGTTATTGAACTGTGAGGAAGGTTACTGAAAATGTTGAAGTCATTTTTGACCTAGTTGTTAATGCCCATCTTTTTGAGGAAAATGATAAATATTTACCATCTTCAAGCCTCAGTTAAGAATGTATTAAGTATGGAGGAAGAGGGAATTAACCTTGCATTTGGTTTTTTTTCACTTCAGGCAAGGCAATTTCGGAGGAGGTGGATGATGTCATTCTATTAGAGTCCAATAATGACAACATTCTGGACATTGCGAACTTCATGGATGATGGAACTGTAGGAGAAGACGGTGTGATTGTGCCCGATGAGGGTATGAAGTTCAACAATGAAACGGAACTGTATAATTTCTACAAAAGATATGCGTACGACGTAGGATTTCCAGTTAGGAAAAGAAATTCACAAAAGGACGATGATGGAATTGTGAGATATGTTGTGTTTACATGTAGCCGTGAAGGCGGGAAGAGTCGTACTACCAGTAGCTCTTTGAAGCCGCAAGCTACCATTCAGACAGGCTGCAAAGCTAGGATCACTGCATCTGCAGATGCATGTGGAATCTGGAGAATTAACACAGTCAATCTCATTCACAATCATAAAACAAGTCTTTCGAAGTCGAGGTCATATCGTTGCAACCGAGAATTAAGTGCCCATGTGAAACGACGGCTTGAAGTGAATGATATGGCAGGAATTCCGTTGCACAAGAGTTACAACTCCGCAGTCGTAGAGGCAGGGGGTATGAGAATATGACATGCGTGGAAAAGGATTGTCGGAATTATGTTGAACAAGTGAGGTGGTTAAGACTTGGAGAAGGAGATGCCGCAGCAATACAAACCTATTTTTCGAACATGCAAGCAAGGTGCTCAGGTTTTTTCTTCAGTATGGATTTAGACGAAGAGTTGCGGCTAAAGAATATTTTCTGGGTAGACAATAGGAGTAGGCAAGCATATACGGAGTTCGGTGATGTTGTCACATTTGATACGACGTACCTAACTAATAAGTACGACATGCCATTTGCGCCTTTTGTTGGAATTAATCATCATGGACAGTCAGTACTCTTTGGTTGTGGGTTGGTGTCGAATGAAACTACAGATACATTTGTATGGCTTTTCAAGACTTGGCTTCAGTGTATGCATGGCCAAGCTCCTACTAGTATTGTTACTGATCAAGACCGGGCCATGCAGAACGCAATTCAAATTGTGTTCCCAAACACGAAACACAGATGGTGTTTATGGCATATATTGAAGAAGTTGCCAGAGAAGTTTGGATACCACATCGATAAGGGCGAGATATTTTCTGCTCTACATGTATTGGTATATGATTCTCAAACTGTTGAGGAATTCGAAGAAGGTTGGAGAGCGATGATAGACAGATATTCGTTACATGGTAATGATTGGTTGTCGGGATTGTTTGATAACAGAGGGCGTTGGGTACCTTGCTTTTTAAAGAGCAGCTTCTGGGCGGGCATGTCAACAACTCAGCGCAGTGAGAGTATGAATGCTTTCTTTGATGGTTATGTGCACTCAAAGACGTCGCTGAAACAATTTGTCGAACAATATGAGAGAGCATTGGGACACAAGGTAGAAAATGAGTTTCAAGCAGATTTTAAATCGTACTCGCAAATGTTACCATCTGCAACAAAGTATGAGTTGGAGAAGCAGTTTCAAAGAATTTATACCATTGCAAAATTTCGGGAAGTTCAGGAGGAATTCGTTGGAAAGGTTTATTGCGACCTCATGTCTTCATCGGAGGGCTTTTCGGGGACAACATATGAGGTATTGGAGGATATCATACTTGACACTCGGGTCAAGAAACAGAAGTTTTTTGTGACATTTGAAAGACAAAGATGTGAAATTATTTGCAGTTGCCACTTGTTTGAGTTTCGCGGTATCATTTGCAGGCACGCGATCGCTGTACTTATTCGTAATAATGTCACTGCATTACCGGAGACTTATATATTACGGAGATGGAGAAGAGATATTAGTAGAGCCCACACAAAAATTGCAGTCAATTATGATGGTTTGAGTGGCACCCCTGCCCAGTTGCGATATGACAAAATGTGTCAATCATTTGCTTCACTTGCGGACATGGCAACCGGGAACGACAATGACACCTGTGACTTACTAGAGTGGATTGAATGCAAAAAA